AGAAAGAGAAAACGCTGTGCTGCAATCCCAAATACATGCAGTTCGAGGCCACCAGCTTCTCCGTGAGGGAAGGATGGGCAATCTTCTCCCATGTAATTAAGAGCCTCTGAAAATCTACCCAAGGGTCGACTAGAGTCAGTTCTGGCTCTACGGTACACAACAACATACATAGCATAAGGAGTTGTGCTACCAACTCAAAGGCCACATCTGTCTGGAATCCATCACCAGCTCTGAGAGAGAAAAAATGGCCATTCTCTTCTCATGAGACTTACAGCCTCTGAAAACCCACAGGTGGGTCAGGTGTACATTAGTTCTCCAACTAGACTTATAGCTTACACTTGCTCTAGACATTCAACTTGTTGAAGCTATAGGAGTGAAATAAGCAGACATATATGTCGTCTCACATACTTTGGACTTGTCAGGAGTGGTCCGTCTTTGGGCAAAAGACATCAAGCTGAGAAACGCAGTCAGAGAGAGAAGGCGGCTCTCAACAAGATGTATTGACACAGTTCCTATAACAATGGGCTCCAGCACATCAGAGATGGTGAGCATGGTGAAGGACAGGGCATAGCTCAGATCTGCTGTTCACAGGATCGCTGTGAGTCATAGTCAACTCCATCAGAATTAACAACAACATACAAATAGATGTATAAAAATTATATGTTGTTGTTGAATACCACTGACTCATAGCTAACCATCCAGTGGGTCTTCAGACACAGTAAATCTCACTGGAGCAGATTGCCCATTTTTCTCCCACAAGGCAGCTGGTAGATTCAAATCACCTACCTTTGGTTTGGCAGTCTAATTCTTTACCACAAGGCCATAAGAGTTCCATTATGTGTGTCAGGAGAGGAAACTGACCATCCCACTCCTGTGGAGCTACCCCATAATACACATAATACAAACATATGTGTGTACATATATGAGGTTTTCCCCCAGCCCTTATAATCTTCTTCTCAGGATAAGGTAAACATTCCACAAAGGAGCAAAGATAACTTTTTAATGTATCATGTATTCATTGCTAACTAATAAAATTTAGACCTTGGTAATTTCTACCTTCCCATGTTCTTGAACTCTCTGAAAGTACTAGTTAGAGAGCCACCTTTTTCCAGAGTAGAAAGAAGAGATTTCTTAAACTTTTACTGAAGCAATTGGGACGTATGCTAATCTATAGTAGTATTGGAATGTTAAAAATGTCTCTATCTGTACATGCATACTTCTTCCCAAAGCATCAATTGTGAACTATTCTGAGGGTGGGCGGGAGGCAGGGCAGGAGGAAGAGAGGGTCTGCACAACTCTACCTGCGCCCACCACCAGGGCCTGAGGCTCACAGCTGCGGATGCAATGCAGGAGAGAGTTGGTGCGGATGCTGGAGTTGAGGAAGGCCACCACACAGCCCATCTTGGCCAGGCCGAACCATATGTGGACAAAGTCAGGCTCATTGCTCATCAGCAGGGCCACCGTGTCCCCCTTTTTCAGCGTGGAATGGTTCAATAAGACGTTAGCCACTCTATCGCTTCTTTTGTCCACATCCTGATAGGTGTAGATCTCTCCCTCATAGATGATGAAAGGTTTGTGAGGCTGCTTCTTAGCATGGCTCTGGAATTTATCGAGCACAGTAAACAGCTCCCCTCTCAGCTTGAACAGCTCCAACCGAATTCCACAACTCGTCACCTTGAACAAGTACCAGAAGTCCTGCCAGAAGTAAGGGAACAGGAGTTTCTGCAGGACGCACAGGAAGACCCCTGTAGCCCCTAGTCCTGTGAGCCATGAGAGAAGCATAAGTGCCGCAGAGCCAGGAGGCAACTCTGACCTTAGTCCTACCAGAGACTCGATCTTCAAGGCACAGTTTTCTGTGGAAACCACGTTTTCACCGTTAGCGTAGGCAGTAGGAGGGAACTTGGGCGACAGAATCAGAGGTTTGCAAGAAGGTCGCACCAAGGGATGCAGGCGGTAGGGTTGTCTGGGTGCCTCTGTGGCCCTAGAAAAAACCCACCTACCCTCCCCTGGGAGGAGCGAATCCAGCAGATGCTCTCGTCCCTGGGAGGGAGTTATTCTTGGCTGCTGCAATTCGGAGGCTGAAATTTGAGCCCAGCGAAGTAAGTTCGAGTTGCTCTCTCGTAGAAATGCAGCCGGTTCTCCTTCAGACCTGCCCTAAAGCGCGCAGAGGCCAGGGCCACGCCTCCGTCGGGGTGTCTCCGGAGCCTGGGATATCCGCCCTCAGCGCCGCCCCCGCTCCGCCAGGCGCTGAAAGGCATGGGGTGCACATATTCATGAGAGGTGCTCGCTGGCGACCGCCTTGCCCACTGGCCTAGCTCCCTTCTGTCCCAGAGCACAACTTCCTCTTCTGATCCTAGCCTGGTGTTCCCCGCCTCTGTCTAACCTCCAAGTCCCAGCCAAGCCCAGGCCCCGCACCAGGACCAACAGTACCGCGCCAAGCACTTTTGCTGACATCCCGCAGGTGCGCATCCCACACCCAGACACGTGTATACCCAGCTAGCTAGCTCTAACTCCAAGGACGAGTCATGATTCTTTCTGCCAGGGAACTGGAAAGTACCATGGAGGAAAACCTGGGATCCCACAATGCGTGCATGTGCTGAGGGGAGTAAGAGGACCAAGCTGCAGCAATTGGGTCAGACGCTGCGTGGAGGCCTTGGCAGGGTTGGAGATGTGGACGTTTACTGCATCAGAGCCCATTAATCAACGTACAGTAAAATTAAACTAGATGCTGGAGAGGTATGGCGAGGAATTTCTAAAATAAAAGTAAAATTGCCTCTACAGAGACAGTGTGTGTGAGGGAAAGATGGGGAGGAGGGGAGGAAATGATATTTAGGAACTAGAGAGACTCAAAAGTGATTTATTTTTTTTTTTGGAGGGGGTCCGTGTAGGGCAAAGGAATTTAAACACTTTGTTCATAATCTATTATTGGAATTTTTTCCCTATTTTTGAAAATTTATACATTAATAGCTCTGCTGGCCTAGGCTGTGGAGAGGTTTGAAGCTAAATTAAGGGTGGAGCCTCTCTGGCAATCGGAACCCACCAGCTGCACTGTCAGGCCAAGATAGGCCTCTTGTCTGGAGTGATGTACAGCCTTCAAACACCAACTGGAGAGTCAGCTATGAGTTGGTTCCTACTTGAAGGCAATGAGTATACTTAGACTTCCACTTCTCTTTAAAACCCAGGGCCTTAAGCCGAAACCAAAACATTGTAGATTCCTGTTAGGTCTGCTCCTATTTCTAGGGACCGTGAGAATGAAACTGAAACTCAGGCTGATCTTGTGTCATCCTCACAATCTCTGCTGTGCTTGAGGCTACAGTTGCAGGAACTATGTCAACTCACCTCATGAAAATTCTTTCTCTTTTGTCATTCTCCGGAGACAGGCACCTCCTGAAAACATGACAGAAATATGTAAGACACATTTCATCATCTCTGCTTCTAATGAACATTCTGCTTTCCCTTGTTTCAAGAAAATTTGTTTGTTCTTTTGTCAGACAAAATGGCATATTTAACATTACTTTAACTATGTAAATTAAAGACATTAATTCTTCCATCTACTATATTTGTTTTCCAAATTGCATGAGTAAATTAAGCAATTGAAAGCACCATTGCATGGGGCAAGTATTCATTAGTCTTTAAATGATACCCTGTACGTCAACACTAAAGAGGTCTCTGATAACAGATTATTATTGTCATATGTTGTTGCTGTTTTTAGGTGCCATAGAAACCCTATGAACCACAGATTTAAACCTTCCCCTATCTTGTACCATCTTCACGGTCTCTGTCAATCTCAGGCCTATTGTTGAATTGTGGTAGTCTCTGTGTCATTCCATTTCGTTGAAGGTTTTCCTTTTTGACTCTGACCCTCCAACTTTCCTAGCATGATGTTTCTCTCCAATGAGGGTTCCTCCTGAGAATATACTTAGAGTTGAGCTTTCAGTGTTGTTGCCTTTAAGGAGCACTCTGGTTTCACTGCCTTCAAGACAGATCTGTTCTTTTGGCAGTATACTCAGTACTCTTCGCCAACACCACAATTCAAAGACATAAATTCTTCTGTCATGCTTATTCATGTGCAACTTTCAGATGCACAGGACACAATTGAAATGATAATGGCTCAGATCAGATATACTTTAACCTTCAAACTGACATTCTTGCACGTTAGGACTTTGAAGAAGTCCTTAACAGCAGCACATTTCCCCAGTGCAGCGTATCTTTTGATTTCTTTAATACTATGACCATGTGTGTTGACTGTGAATCCAAGTAAAATGAAATCATTGATAACTTCAATCTTTACTCCATATATCATGATGCTGTTGCCTGTTGCTCTAGTGCTGAGGGGTTTTGCTTTCTTGGTGTTGAGGTGTACCCCATATGAAGTTGTTGGCTTTCTGCAGTAAGTACTTCAGGTCTTCTTTACTTTCTACAAGCAAGGTTGTTTCATTTGCATACTATAAATTGTTGTATTAGACTTTCTGCAATTCCAGTGCCCTATTCTTCTTTATATCATCTAGCTTCTCAAGTGATTTGTTCAGCACAAAGATTGAATAGGTGTTCCAACAGTTTAACCCAAAGCAGTAAGTCTTGATTTCACTCCTGCTTCCATGAGACTTTGAAATAAAGTAAAATTGAATCTTTGACAATGTCAGTCCTTTCTCCATTGATCATAATGTTATTATTGGTCTAGTTGTAGAATTTATTGTTTTCATGTAATCCATATAGAATCCATTTTGTGTCATCCATATAGAAGGCTACAGTCATTGATTTTCTCCTTCAATAAGTATTTCACATCTTGCTCACTTTCAGCAGGCAAGGTTATATCATCTGTATATCATAAGTTGCTGATGAGTCCTCCTTCTATCTTTATGTCATTCAAACTCATCACTGTTGGATCAGAACCAACTCATAGCTGACCCTCTAGAAGGTTTTCTGAGGCTGTCAATTGAACTAGTTGAAATTTCCCATTTTTCCCTCCCAAAGATCCTTTGATGGGTGCTAATCACCAGTTAAGTATGACTCTTAGGTTAGTAGTGAAACTCCTATGGACTATGTATGGCACTGTAGGATTTTTCATATAGTTCAGCTACTCAGATTATTTCCTCAGCATACATATTACATAGGTATGGTGAAAGAATCCAACTCTGATGCACTCTTTTCTTAATTTTAAACCCCATATTATCTCCTTGTTCTGTTTAAATTACTCTTCTTCATTTTTGTACAGATTTTATTCCCATTCTTTAACTAAGTCAGTAAGTGTTCTTCAATTACCATTCCCAGAGGCAGTTATGCTGATAGCATAAAGATGGCACCTTCTCTGGTGGTTAAAATCCATCACTGACTCTATGGGTGAATGATAAGCACTCACTTCCCTTGCAATTTCCAGCTTCCGAAAATCTGATGAAGGGTCAATCATGCAACAGGCCCAACTCGACAACAATGAAAGTATGAGAGAGCAAGAGAGAGAGAAGCAGAATTAAATAGACTCAAAACAAACTTATAAAAGGACATAGAGAAAGTCTTTCATGGGCTGATCCATTCTGATGATGTGACTAAGTTGGATTGAAAGATTACCCATCTGGACGGAAAAGTTCCACCAGTGGAAGGGAGAGATAGGAAGAAGATGCCTGCTTGGTAGTTGCTGGAAGATTATGGTATTGAAAGTAGCTGCCTGCTGGCCGGTAGCCTGAGTGGGACTTTGCTAGTGAAAATGAGGTTCTATAAAGAAAGCTTTTCCCTACTAAATGCTAGCCTAAAGGCTGTGTCTTTTGGAAAGCTTAAATTCACTAGGTGCTCTGAGGAAGAAAGATGCCAACTCTACAGTCTCTGAATATCCTAATGGAGTGTCAGTTATGAGTTGATTCCAGCCTGATGATTATGAGGTTTTGGGAGAGTTTATTATTTCAAAAAGGCCAAAAGTCATCTTTGATAGTCTATCCTTTTTTATGTTGGTTCTAATCTGATTCATTCACCTCCTAGAAAATAGTACAGAGTGGAAAATAGAGTTAACCTTAGAGTTTGGGACTTTCAGTATGAATAAAATCTGTGGTACCCATGTGTGTTGGTGGTGATGGAAGGAGAAGTAGGGAAAGGAACACAGGTTTGCCTTCTCATTCCAGGAAAGCTCAAGCATATGTGACAATTACTATCTATGGTTACCACTGTTTCATAAAATGGAAGAATTTCTTTCTATATTAAAAAACAGAGATGATATACCTTTTTAATTAAAGATGGTCTTTTAAAATGAACATATTAAGTTTCTGAAAATCTCATTGTGTAATACTTTTTTAAAATCACAAACTTGTCAAATCATCCCAAATCATATAACTAATTTTTTGCAACTACTGAAACTACCAACATAAAGACCTAGACCAGGAAGTGGTGGTTCAAACACAGCAAAGGAACACAGCATGGTTTAAAATTAGGAAAGGTGTGCATCAGGGTTGGTTCTTTACTCCATATCTATTTACTCTATATGCTAAGCAAGTTTTTTGAGAAATTAGACTCTGTGAAGAAAACCCATGACATCAGGATTGGAGAATGACTCATCAATAACCTTCGTTATTTGCTGAAAGTGAGGAGGAGCCTTCAATATGGATTGCATCTCAACATTAAGAAAGCAAAAACCATGACAATACTGATAAGGGACTTGTATCTACAATTTATAAAATACTCAAGCACCATAACAAGACAAAGATAAACAACCCAATTGCAAAATAAGCACAGGATATGAACAGACACTTCACCAAAGAAGACATTTAGATAGCGAACAAACACATGAAGAAATGCTC